GAGCCACGGCCCCGGGGAAGAGTCCTGTCACTTGGGTGAGGGGCTCCCACCCAGTCCTTCCCTCCTGCCTTGCCCTGTGGGAGGAGGGCTGGTGTTCCCCCCCGGGACACCCGGGGCTCTGGGCCCCATCTGCACTTCTGTGTTGGCAAACACAGGAGAATTAGCTCAGCGACTTCCTCTCCTAATCCCCCACCCCCATTCTAAATACCTCGGAATCAAGAGAAAAGCCGAGTGGACGTTTTGAGCCTAATTCTCTTCAGCTGTGTGTGCGTGTATGCGTGCACTCGGGTGCAGAGGCCTGCGAGGAAACCTTTTGAACCCCGAATATTAGTGTTAGAGGGAGCGCGAGGAGCGTTAGGTCAGCCCCCGCCACATACAGCTGAGACAAACCAGATGCCCCCTGTCACACGGGAAGCTGAGGTGGAGGCCACCAGGTGCCCGGGCTCTCTGCCCTGCACCCGCCTTGCAGTCCCGAGGTTTCCACGACCCGAGAGCCCCCAGGCTGGCCTGGGCTTGGAGGGGACCCCAGCCCCACTCAGGCGGGAGCTGGCCGTGCCCGCCAGCCCCCTCCTGAATTCTGATGTGCCAAAGCCAGGCCCAGGTCCCCCTCCCAGCACGCCTGGCAGCCCACCACCCGCCCACCCCCCGGTCTCCCCCAGGCTGGCTTGGGGTCCGCCCAGCCTCACATCCTTCTCCAGCCAATTCCCACGTGTCTCTTGTCTCCCGACTAGACAACAAACCCCTCTTAGTCTCAGCATGTTTTCCTCTGTGTCTCCCCCAAAGGACTAGAGCGGGGCGGGGGGCGGGGTGGGCACACAACAGGTGTGCTGGGGCTCGCAGGCAGCCCTAGCTGATTGACGGCGCCCCATGTGCAGCGAGGGGGTGAGGGCTGAGGACTGGCCCGCACGTGACTCCCAACCGTCCTCCCTGACCACTGTGTCAAAATCGACAGCGCCAGCCTCCTCAGCCGGGCTCGAAGCACGGCCCCAAGAAGGTGGTCACGCGAGTGCACCAAGACGCCGTGTCTGTGGCGTTTCACCACGAGGGGGTCTGTTAGGGGAAAATCCACGTGTTCGGGATGTCAGGCTCCAAGGTTGGAGGGTTGAGTGGAGCAAGCACAGCTGCAAGGAAACACAGACAAATGAACCTGGCCGCTCAGGAGCTGCGCCCCCACTCAAGCACACAACTAGAACCCGAATTTTGTTCAGATCGGATCAACTCCATTTTCACAATTAAAAAAAAAAAATCAGTTTTCAAGATGAAACCCCAATCAACACTGTCACTCTTTTAAAAGGGGGACCCCTATTTTAAGCAGACTGGCTTTAGGTGGCTTTTTATCCCATGCTCGATGTCCTTGGATGACAAACAAACCAAACAGAAAAGTTGGGGAACAGCTCACATTCGTGAGTAAAGACTAGAGGAGTCAGCTACTGGAAAGACAATGCAGCTCCCAAGATCCACCTAGAGACCTGTGTGTTCTGGCAAAGAAGAATGTCCAGAGCACTTTGAAAATTTCTTGTCTGTCTTTCCTACTGGAATATAAACCCCACAGAGGCAGGAAATCTGTGAAATCGCTCTGAGGATCTGGGGCTCCCACTCCCCTGACTTCCCTGGGGAGGTGGAAATGGACATACCTGGAGAATGTCCAGGGAAGGGGCTTCGCCTCCCCCTGAAGGGTGCAGGAGGCCATGAGAGGCAGAGGTTGGAGCCTTACCCCACTGGCTCACAGCAGTGAGAACCAGGGCAGTGCCCCAGGCTGCATTCGGCGTCCTGTTCTAGGCCTTCTTGGCCAGCCGGCCCTCCTGTTCTTGTCTCGACAGCTACACAAGGCTGGCAGCAGCCCTTCTCCCTTCCAGGTAGGAATCCCAAGGCTGCACAGTGTGGGCCAGGACTCCAGTCCCTCCCTGCCATTCTTTGCCAGGGCGGAGGGTGACAGTGGTCACTTGGGGGGAGGAGGGAGTAGGGGGCTGGGCAGGCAAAGGTGGTAGGAAGGTGGTGGGGCCTTCCGTGGGCCAAAGCTCCAAGCCCTTGGAGCACGCTCCATTGTCCCAACAGACTTCACTTACAAAACCCAAGCTCAAAGATAAATGAAGAATTTCAAGATGGTGACAGCAGAGCATTAAAACCCTGTGTGTGGGGCCCTTCTGAGTGCAGGGCCCCATGCGATGATCCTGGTTACAACCTGCGTCTGGGGTAGGCAGATGCCCAGAAACACCCACCCAGGCGGTGAGGGCTGGCTGACCCTCTGTCAAATGTACCAACCGAGGCTTGCTGTAGAGCCTTCCCGTGGGCTGGTCAGGGGACAGAGAGATGACCAGTCTGGCACTGCTTGTGAAGGTCTGAAAGCAAGCTGTTGATGTGCAAAAAGACAACACCATTTCCCCCTTCTCCTGCAGGCTGAACCACAAAGAAAAAACTGACTCAGTCACCCTTGGAGAAATTCCTGGCTCTTTTCGTAGACACATATTTCAGGCAAAAGCAGTGGAGATGAATGGCCTCATTGCTTGCTTTGGGTGTGGGGATGGCTGCTTGCTTGGCTGGCTCTAGCTTCCCCCTTCCTCCCTTGAAGTCAACCCTGGTTGGGGGAGAGTGGGGTAACAACTTCTGAGAAAATACTGAGAGTTCACAGAAGGTCTAAATTGCCCTAGACTTGCATAAAACCTCGGTAGAGTGAGAGCCCCATAAGGACAGACTTCCTGACGGCTGTTTGCTGTAGACTGTCCGTGTTTATGGCAGCGCCTGGCACCCAGAGGAGCTCAGAAGACCTGCGTGGTGGGTGGATAGGTGGGTGGGCAGATGGAGGGATGGATAGGTGTGTGGGTAGGAGGGAGGGTGGATGGATGGGTGGGTGGGTGGATGGGCAGTTAGGTGGATGGGTGCGTGGACGGTAGGGAAGACAGGAGACAGTGGACCCAGCCTCCAGCCACAGGCAGATCATAGGAGGGAAGCTTCACCGAGAGCTGTAGCGGTCCTGGTGGGAAGCTGACCCCCAGGGTCACCTCCTTTGGGGTGACCTGGGCAGGTCCTCTCCTTCAGGAAGCCGCCTGCCAGAGTCTGGGCACCCTCGTCCCAAGGTCTCCTGAGGAGTGAACAACAGGACGTCCATAGCAGAGTCCCCGATAGCAGCACCGTCGCGCCCGGCACCGTCCCCAGAGGGAGATGGGAGGCCGCCTGCCTGCCTGCCTTCGTTGACCCATGTGGTAAGGGTCTGCAGCAGGCCGTTTGTGTGCCGAGGGCCGAAAGTTCCATGGGGCACCCAGTAGGGTGTGGACGCGTGGAAGCGACCGGACGGGTGGGTGGACATTTGCACCGCGAGCTGGGGTGGGGTGGGGCGCGGCACGTGGCACTGTAGTTGCCCCGCCAATCCAAACCCCGGTCGCATCGGCACTTGTCCCTCTCGACCAATGGCAGAGCGTGGTACACTGCTTTCCGCGCCCAGCCAATCTGCGCGGCGGCACGCGGCAACCCACCCCACGGGCCCATCCAATCAACGGCCGGGCAGCTGCCACGTCAGCCGGGGTCCGGGTGCGGCCGTAGTCTTTCGGCAGACCGTCGCCCCGCTGCTCAGTCGGCGCTGAGCTCTCGTCGGGGCTGACCTGTTGGCGGGGCTGTGCTCACGGCCGCACCCTCTCCTCGGCTGTGCCGTCCTCTCGGCCGCGCCAGCCCCGCACCGAGCTCCACAGCCTGCGCTCCTCAGGCCCCCACCCAGCGCTGCGGGCGCGGTCCGACCAGGCGGCGCGGGACGGGTGACCGCCGGCGCACCGAGGTGAGCTCTGCGTCCGGCGGGCGGGGGGCCGGCTCTCCCCTCGGTACCTCCGGGAGAGTCGGCCCGGGTCGGGGGTCCTGGTCCAGGATCCGAGTCCGGGGATCGGATTCCGCGCCTGCAGTCCGCCTCGCAGTTCTGCGTCGTGGTTCCGAGTCCGGGTCCAGTTCTGCATCTGGAGTCCACCTCACGGTCCTGCATCGGGGATCCAAATCCGGGGGTCGAATTCCGCGCCTGGAGTCCGCCTCGTATTTTTGAGTCCGGGTCGGATTCCGTGCCTGGAGTCCGCCTCGCGGTCCTGCATCGTGGTTCCAAGTCCGGGTCCGATTCCGCATCTGGAGCCCGCCTCGCGGTCCCATATCGTGGTGCCGAGTAGGGGATCAGAGCCAGGGTCTGGAGTCCGCCTCGTGGTCCAGCCTCGGGGATCAGAGTTGGGGGTCGGAGATGGGGTCCGGAGTCCGCCTCGTGGTCCTGCGTCGTGGATTTGAGTCGTGGATCGGAGCCGGGGTCCGGAGTCCGCCTCGCGGTCCAGCCTCGTGGTTCCGAGTTGGGGATTGGAGTTGAGGTCCGGAGTCCGCCTGGGGGTCCCGCCTCGTGGTTCGGAGTTGGGGATCAGAGTTGAGGTCCAGAGTCCGCCTCGCGGTTCCGAGTTGGGGATCGGAGTTGAGGTCCGGAGTCCGCCTCGCGGTCGCGCCTCATGATTCGGCGTTGGGGATCGGAGTTGAGGTCCGGAGTCCGCCTCGCGGTCCGGCCTCATGGTTCTGAGATGCGAGATCGGAGCCAGGATCTGGAGTCCGCCTCGCGGTCCAGCCTCGTGGTTCTGAGTCGGGTATCGGAGTTGAGGTCGGAGTCCGCCTCAAGGTCCCGCCTCGTGATTCTGAGCCCCGGGATCGGAGCCAGGATCTGGAGTCCGCCTCGCGGTCCAGCCTCGTGGTTCTGAGTCCCGGGATCGGAGCCAGGATCTGGAGTCCGCCTCGCGGTCCAGCCTCAGGGTTCCGAGTCGGGGACCAGAGCCCGCCTCACGGTCCAGTCTCTCGGTCCTGCATAGGGGACCGGAGCCGGGGTCCTTTATCATTGGGAATCCCAAGTCTGGGTGGGTGTTCTGATTTTGACGCTCAGGGTTCCAAGTTCGGGATCGAGGCAGAGTCCGTTGGAGTTAAGATGGGAATTTTGAGTCGGAAATCACAGTCCACGTGGTGGTTCTGAGTCCAGGGTCCGAGTCAGGGATCTGAGTCTGCGCGTGAAGTCCGCCTTCCTGCCTACGTGGCAGATTCCAGGGTCGGCGGTCTGGGGGCGGGATCAGAGCCAGGATTGGAGTTGGGATTCTGGGACTGCGTTGGGTTCCGAGTGAAGGGTGGGGTTACTGGTGAGGGGGGGGCGTGTCTAGAGTCCAAGTTAGAATCTGAGTTCCAAATAGGGGATCCAGGTCGGGGTCCTACTGGGATTGGAGCCAGAGTAGTGCTTCTGAGTAAGAATCTGGAGACTGTGTGTGGAAGGTGTCTGATTCTGAGGCAGGTCCGCGTGGGGAATCCGACTAGGGGTTTAGGGATTCTCAGTTGGAGATTGGAGTTGGGGTTAGGGGTCCGATTTGGGGATCACAGTCAGAAATTGGAACTGAGGTTTCTAGTTGGGGCGGGGATTCTGAGTCACAGGTCCACTGGGAGTTGGGGTTTGGAATCATGGGTCTAGGTAGGGGAGGAGAGTAGGGAATAGAAGTCTTGGTCACATCTGGGATTGGAGTTGAGGACTGGAGTCACGGGTCTCAGTCTGGACAGCAGTGGGGACAGCCTGGAAGTTCGGTTCCCCCGACCCCCAACCCCAGTGTTGCTCCAGCACATTAAACTGCCTTTTCTGTAAAATGGGGACGAGTGTCTTCTTCCCACAGGACGGTTCTTGTTATGAAAGGGATGAATTCGTCTACACTGCATAGCTCTGTCCTAGATGGAGAGTCACCCAGTACTGAAACGTGGCTAGAACAGTAATGTCCGCATTTTAGGTGCATTTGCCAGTCCTCTCCATGTTCTGGTGCCCGTGCTGGACCGAGAGCTCCCAGGAGGGACTTTTCTGTTCTGTTCTCTGCTGCCTGCCCCCCTACTCAGTCGAGAGCCTGATACACAGCCTTGCTCGGGCAATACTTGTTGAAGGAAAGCAGGCAGGCAGGATTAACCAGATTTCTATGGTGTCTCAAATGATCCATCTCTGCACCTGTTTTCCAGATACTCACTGGGAGAAAAATTTAAGGATTGGGTTGCTTGATTACAGTTCTATTTTAATGTGTTTCCAAACATGCTAAAGAGAAAAGTGGGCCTGTTTCAGGATTTATGCTCCAGCAAGAGGGATCTTTTTAAATTGGGAATCAGAGCATGTCCAAATTCAAATAAGGGGAGAACACAAGAAAATTATAAACTAGTTCCCTTATGAATGCTGAAGTCCCATGTACACCATTAGCTAACCGAATCCAACAGTGTATTAAACAGTTCTTCAACAAGTGGGATTTCTCCTAGGAATGCAAAGATGATCCAATATCAGAAACTCTATCCGTGTAATTCACCACATTAAGAGACCAGAGGAGAAAAACCATATGGTTCTCTCAGTAGAGACAGAAAAATTATATAGTTTCGGGCCTATGCATGATTTTAGGGCAGGAGGATAGCACTTAGCCAGCCAGGGTGAGATACCCTGATGTGATACAGGTTCTGAACCAACACTTGGCTTTTCAGCAGACTGTATCCATCCCTTTCAGAGAAGGAGTAGGCACAGGGGGCCACCCCAGGCCACAGGCGTCCCCCCGCACAAGGGAAGGGGACGGAGCCAAAGGAGAGGCCCAGGAGAGAGGGAACCGCCCGTCCTGAGAGTGTTGCCTCTGTCGGACAAAGTATTGAGGTCCCCAAAGAACTTTGGTTAACATGGGCTGGATCTGTTGGTAGTTAGTTAGCTCCTTAGAAGTTAAAACTGAGAAACATTTAAAACCAAACCCAGAGCCCTCAGAGCACAGATCCCGGCGGGTCACGCTTCCTTTGGAAAACTCTTTAACTTTGTGAGAGTGAGAGCAGAACAGGCAAATAATATCTGAGTATTACGATGAAAGTGGTTTTGACCTTGTGCAAGAGGGCCTCCGGGGCTCCCCGGGGTCCTCAGACCACACTCTGAAAACTGCTGAGCTGCACGAAAAACAGAGTCAACTTTCAGAATGGAAAAGAGACGTGAGCAAAGGTTTTGGATAGAAGATCGATGCCCCCC